CTGTGTGTGTGTGTGTGTGTGTGTGTGTGTGTGTGTGTGTGTGTGTGTGTGTGTGTGTGTGTGTGTGTGTACATATATATACTGTATATTATATATATATATATATATATATATATAGACACACACATTCATACACAAATTTAATACATTTAAACAAATACTGTTCAACAAAAAAATCTTCTCTCTGATTTTCAGATTAAAAAACGATCGGTGAATGTGCAGCATGCTAATAACAATCCCTCATCGATAACCAACCTCTGATCGGAGAGTCCCCGAACGACGGCGAGCAACAGAGCCTGCACGCACAGCCGACTCGGGGGCCGCTGCCCTTGCTTCCTGCGACCGCCGATGCGCAGCCGACGCTCGGGCCACCTTTGCACCAGCTCCCCGACGGCTAGCGGTCTGCATCCCGCGAACGAGGCCTCCAGTAGCGGGCCGTACAGCTCTCGGGGCACCCAGCGCAGCCAGTGGGGCGACGAGCTGTGGTCGCTCACCACCTCCTTCGCGCACAGGCTCAACAAGGAAAGCGCCATCTTTGGTAAGACATTAGACGCAAAAAAAAAAAAAAAAAAAAAAATTTAAGATCAACAGCACGTTAACATGTACACCTAGGATGCCGATCTTTGGTCCATGTTAGCGACCGATTGAGGAAGCTTCAGCATCTGTTTACACTTTTACACTGTCGCATTCTTGTGACGTAGACGTATGCGACACGAACAGTCATAAATACATCCGTCAAACACAGAACCTGTTTCTCGTCGTGTTATGTATTTACTCAACCCTTGATACAATTTATTTTTTAAATATTTGAATTAACTATTGTTGTTCTAATTGGGGGACACTATTTTAAAAGAGGTTTTAATAAAAAATGTTTTTAATGCCGAGTGCACATCATTGTTCCAGCCCCCCTCCCGACACCCCCATTTCAGTAGCTGGAAGTGTCTCCACTTTGCCAAGTGGGTGTGCATCAAATACATCTTAATGATGACCAAACGTTGTCATCATGGGCGTCATTAGGCCTATTTTAGGGAGGCTTCAGCCTCCCTAAAAATGTCTTTAGCCCCCCTAAATAATTTCATTGCATTATTTTAAAAAAAGTATTATTTATTTTTCCTGTACTTTTGCTAATATATTGCATCAAATTCAATGTAATGTGGCCATTTTAAATTATATTTCGGT